GCCCACATTGACTCACCGAGCATGAACAGTTTGCTGCTCGAGCGCGCTCGTCTTGCCGGTAGTTGAGGAGACTGGTCGTTTTCATATCTCCCCTTGGCCTCAGTCTTGCCGAGATACCGTTCGGCTGCCCATTTGAAGATGTCCTGGCCGGTCGTCCAGTCTCGCGTGAATGGATCAACTAGTCCCGGCGGCGGCCGGCGCGTCGCCGTCGACGCCTCGGCAGAGACGATTCTGTGCCCGAAGTACAGCGCCTCGCTCCTCGAGTCCGTCTCGTCGTCGTCCCTCGTCGGCAGCCCGTCCAGACTCATCTTCACTCGCGCCGGCCGAGCTGGCCGCGTTTCTCTGGCCGCCGGAGCGGCTGGCCGCCGACAGCCGGGCCCATTCGGCCGCGTCGTCCAGCCGAAATTGGCCAGCGGCGCCGAGATGGCGCGGGCCTCGAGGCGCCGGCTCGTCCAGTCGCCGGACTCTGAGCCGGCGCTCTCCTCGCGACACGAGGCGGCCATGTCGAGCGACGGCGTCGAGACGAGCCCGCACGGATTAGGCCTCTCGGCGTCATGGCGTCCGAGAGGCCAGTCGACGCCGGTCTCGACGCCGGTCTCGACGGAGGGCAGAAGATGGGCCTGTGAGATGGGCAGCTCGAGCAGCTCGTTGCGGAGGCCGGCCGAGGCCGGATTGACGCGAGCCAGTCGGCGGGCTTTGCCGGTACCGACGCCGGGCTCGGTGGAGAAGAAGACCGAGGCGGAGTTGGGGCTGGAGGAGAGGCGGCCGGAGAGCGCGTGCACGAGCCAGCGCGGCAGACGGGGCACGGACGCCGGGCCGGTCGGCTCGTCGGACGGCGTCGGCTCGAGCTGCTCTTGAGTGGGGCTGGGGTCGCGGTGCGGACTCGACTTGTGCCGCCGCAGTCGGCTCAAGAAGGACTCGCGCAACCCGCTCCGACGGACCGGCAGACGGCTCGGCCCCTGCGCCGGCCGCGACTCGAGCCGCGTCTCCGGCTCGCTGGTCACTTCGTCCCGCGCCGACACGATGTTGTACTGCGAGACGG